GTGGTTAGGTGATATCTCATTGTGGTTTTGATGCATTTCTCTCATAATTAGGGACATTGAGCATTTTGGCTTATGTTTATTGGCCATTAGTCTATCTTCTTTTGAAAAGCTTCTGTTCATGTCTTTAGTCCCCCATTTAATGGGGCTGTTTGATTTTTTTTCTTATAGATTTGCTTGAGTTCTTTGTAGATTAATTCTGATTGTAGATTGATTCTGATTAATGCCCTTTATCAGATGTATAACATGCTATTATTTCCTCTAACACTGGAGGTTTTCTATTGGCTCTGTTCATTGTCTCCTTGGCTGTGCAGAAGCTTTTTAAGTTAATCAAGTATCATTTACTTCTTTTTCTTGTTGCTATTATGGCGCTTGGGGATTTCTTCAAAAATAATTTGCCTAGGCTGATACCTACAAGAGTTTCTCCAACATTTTCTTCTAGAATTCACGTGGTATCACATCTTAGATTTAAGTCTGTTAGCCATCTTGAAATAATTTTTGTGAGTGGTGAGAGATGCAGATCCTGTTTTTTTATGTACTTATTTTAGTGTATTATGGATTACAAGTGTTAAGGTTACATGTATTGCCCATGCCTCCCCTTCCCCTTCGAGTCAGAGCTTCAAGCGTGTCCATCCCCGAAATGCTGCACATCTTACTCGTTGTGTTTGTGTATATACATCTCCTCCTCCTCCCTCCCACCTGCCCGACACCCAATAAATGTTACTCTCATATGTCCACTTAGGTGTTGATCTGTTAATGCCAATTTGCTGGTGAGTACATGGGGTGTTTGTTTTTCCATTCTTTTTTTTTTCCAAAATAAGATATATAGAGATACATATAAGAGAGGATTTATTATAAGTGTACACAGTTATGGAGGTTGAGGAGTCCCACAATCTGGAGAACCAAGAAAGCCAGTTGGGTAATTCAATCCAAGTCTGAAGACCTGAGAACCAGGGGGATGATGGTGCAAGTCCTGATCTGAATCTGAAAGCCAGAGAACCAAGGCCCTGTAAGTGCTGACACCTGAGGGCAGGAGAAGATAACTCAGCTCAAGCAGAGACAGCAGACTCACCCTTGCGCCATGTTGTTGTTCTACTCAGGCCCTCACAGACTAGATGACACCCACAACATTGGGGATGGCCATCTGCCTTTCTCAGTCCATCAATTCAAATGCCGATCTTTTGCAGAAACATCCTCAAAGACACACCCAGAAAACATGTTTAGTCAACTCTCTGGCCATTTCTTAGCCCAGGCAAGTTTCTGAGGAACTCAAACTACTTTCCACAGGAGCTGCACCAATTTTATATTCCCACCAGCAATGCATGAGGATGATTACTCCACATCTTCTCCATCACTAATTAGTATTCCTTTTTTACATTATAACCACCCTAGTGTTTGTGAAGTGATTTCTCATTGTGCTTTAATTTACATTTTCCTAATGATTAATAATGTTGAATATCTTTTCATGTGTGTATTGACCATTTGCATACCTTCCTGAGAGAAATCCTTTTCTGTGTTGAAATCTCTCCTGCCATACATTAGTCTCACTGCTCTATGGTAGCTGCTCTTGTTCGGCTGACCAAATGTCATTAAATCCAGCAGTCAGTCCTCATCTTCTGTGACATCTCACCAACACGTGACATATCCTTCCTTGAAAATCTGTCTTCGAGTTTTATTCACCACTCGCCACTGTTTCTTCCTACTCTGTGGGTGCTTCTTAGATTCCTTTACCAGTTTCTTTCTCATCTCTCTAATTCTTAATTCTGGAATGTCCAAGGGTTCCAAGCAAGACGACCCAGACCACCTCCAGTTACTATCTATACCATGTACAAATTTCTAGACCAGGTGACTACTTTATATTGCAAAAGGGACTTTACAGATGTGATCAAGGTGAGACTTTGAAATGAGATTATTCTGGAGTACCTGAGTATGCCCAATCTAATCACACAAATCCTAAATGTGAGAGAAGAAGCAGAAGAAAGGAGTTCAGGGAGATACGTAGCATGTGAAAAATACATAAACCACCGTTGCTGACCTTGAAAATGGAGCTAGGGCCATAAGCCAAGGAGATGTGGTGACCTTGAGAAGCTGGCAAAGCCCCTCTCTTTACCACCAGCCTGAAAACGAGGACATCTGTCTTACAACTGCAAAGAACTGGCAACAACCTGAATGAGTAGGAAATGGATTCTCCCCTAGAGCCTCCAGAAAGTAGCCTAGGACACCTTGAGATTAATCAAACTAGACTCACACTGGACTTCTGACTTCTAGAACTGCAAGATAATGAATATGTGTTGTGTTAAGCTATTGTTTGTGATGATTTATTGTGACAGCAACAGAAAATGAATACAGATGTTGAACCCTCTCAAGGTTTTCAATACTTTGGCTACTTTGAGGTTTCTAACCCCAATCCCTTCACTGGACTCCATGTTGTAATGATCCCACTCTTTACCTGACATCTCCTCTTGGTTGTCTGACAGACATCTCCAGCTTGACGTGTCTAAATTCCAACCTTCTAAGCATGCTTCCCATACAGTATCCCCATCCCAATAAGTGTCACCTCTATCCTTCCATTTGTGCCAACCACAAAACCATAGTGGCATCCTTAACTTCATTCTTTTTCTCATTATCCAACATTCTATTACTATGAGCAAGTACTGAAATATTTTCATTCAGTATATATATTCATGTACAAATTTATATAATGTATATATTTATAACATAACTACCTCTCTCCAATCCCCTCGTTCAATATAGCCATCATTACTCTCCTGCATTACTGCAGTACCCTCATGGTCTCCCAGCTTCTCTTCTTACTCCCTTAAGTCTAGTCTCAAAATAGCATCCAGAGTGATCCTTACAAAGTGTGAGTTACATCATGTCACTCCTTAGTTCAGGACCCCCGCCATGGCTCCCACTTTACCTGCAAGGCCCTGCACCATCTTACCAGGTCCCCTGCAATCCTCTCAGCCATTATTCCACTCTAGCAACCTTGGCTTCCTTCAACAGACCACGCATGCTATGGCCTCAGAGTCTTTGCTTCTGCTGGAATTCTCTTCCTCCAAGTAACCGCATGTCTCGTTTCCTGATTTTCTTTAGGTCTTTAAAAAAGTTTCCTTTTCTCAGTGAGGTCAACCCTGACCACTCTATTTAAAACTATACAACATCCTACCTGTGCTCTCTTCCTTCCTTCCCACTCTACTTTGGTCCACAGCACTTATTGCAGGGGTGAGAAGCAAGCATTTAGTCTGGGTTATCCTTTAAAGACAAATGGGTCAATGAAGACTCAGAGAGTAAGCTGCAAACCCTAGTATGTACATACTGTTGCTATTCCTGGGAAACTTCCACAATGATAAGTTAATGAACTTGTCCATGACACATAGTAATAAGTGGCAGAGCTGGGATATAGACCCTGTAGTCAGATTCTAAAGGCCCACCTCTTGAGGGACCTAATCACCTCCTAAGGTCACACCTATTAATGCTGTTACAGTGGGGATTAAGATCTAACATGCATTGTAGAGGAACACAAACACTCAAACCCTAGCAAAGGTCTTCAGTGACTACGCGGTGAAGGGAAAAGGCAGGAACTTTGGAACCATCCAGTGTTGGATTTAAGGCTTTGCTCTGCCACCAACTAGTTTGGGATGCCAGTTACCAACCACCCCTAAAGTGAGAACTAGAAGAAATAATATTTGCAAAGTGCTTCAGGCAAAACCTGTTTCACTATAGGCTGAAAAGCCGAGTTTTTTTCCTTGTTTTTCCTGCCTTAGGTGGAGTGGGAAGGTCAGCTGGGTGCTCACCTCTTACCCTGTCTGCGGGAGTGGGCTCTGTGCCCAGCAAGGGCACCAGAGCAGGCTTCTGGGAGTTGAAAGAAGAGACAGGTGCCAGCGGGCAGGTGAGACATGGTCTTTATTGTCAGAGGGATGCAGCAGCGCCGAAAGCATGGCCGAGAACAAGGCGAGCGCTTTTGTGTGCCTCTGAACAAAAGTGACATTATGACATGGGAAAGCGTGATCACAGGGGTTCATGTAGGAGATAACACTTGGTTACAGAAGTGTGTTGACTCATGCCTTACCAGAAGGCCAGCTGAAGACACTCCGGCAATCATTTTAGTTTGGCCTAAGAAACCTATTGCCTATACAACTGGATATCACATACACTATCGCGGAACGAAGGGCACTGATGCCCAACCATGACCAGGCCCGAGGGAAGGCAGTGCAGAGACTGGCACACCGACAGCTTCTGCTCAGGCTGAAAGAGAAGAGGGTCCCCGCTCCTCCCTCACCCGTCAGCAGGCTCCTAGCATTGGTTCACAGTGATCAAGCACTTAGCAGAGACCCTATTCAGACCTGTGCTTTCTGACTTCAGCAATGAGGCAGCTGAGCTCTTCTAAGCTGCAAGGGGAACCAAGAGACCCAGGAATCCAGGCCGCCAGACAAGCCACAGCAGCTCATGGAACAAGAGTCAGCCCACTTCTGTGTAAGAGCTGGGACCCAAAGAGGATGCAGCCAGGTGGGGTCCCCAACGGAGGCAAGAAATACTCACACACTGCAGTGGAAGCTGGACCAGGGCCTCAGGCAACCAGAGGCTAATGGTGGGGTAAGGAGGTCCCCAACTAGGACCTCGGGCAGATGTAATCGAGGGAGGGCAGCATGTCCACCCCTGCCTCCAAGAGGAGCCACAAGAGAGAGACTGCCATCAGCTTCTGTGCGGTGTCCCCTTCTGCTGAGCCTGCATGGAATGGGAGGAGGGCAGCCCAGACCCCTCAACACATAAAGGGTGCTTGTCTCCTTGGCTCTCTTCTCCCATGGCCCCAACACCCTCCGGAAGGAGCCCTGCAGAAGATTCATGGCTCCAATCCAGGGTAGATTGTGTCAGCTGCCTTACATAATATTCCAGGTGTTCAGAAAGATCAGATTTGGGACAGACCGTTTCCAACCTTCAGGATTCAGACAGCCTCCATGAACAATATCTTGGAAGGAAGCTTTGGGCAGGATGGCTGATTCAACAGGCACAGGTGAGGGTGAGGAACAGGGAGAGTAACCATCATCTCAGGGACAGGGATGCAGGTGAGAGAGGAAGAGACTGATGTAGGGTACAGAGACAGCGTGACTACAGGGGCCTGAGGGTCGGTATAAGCAGAGGCTGGACACACTGAGTCAGACCTTCCCACTAGCTTCACGGTCAGAGCCTCCCCCCTGATCACACCAAGGGGCTGGGGGACACTGCACATCGTTCTTGCTACCAACTGCCCCTACGCCAGGCCAGGGGAAGACCTGAGGCTGTTTTCCTAAGACAATCCCCAACTTTTGCCCCTAAGGGTCATTCTCTGAGAAACAGAAGGCTGGGAAGGGCTTGAGATCATAGGAATTTTTCTTTCCACTCCACAGGAAGATAAGTTTGGGTCCACGGGCGAAGGCTGAGGCTCAGGTCCAGCTTAGCAAAGGAGAAAAGGAAGGCGTCCTTGGTGGACTTGCATACTGTGCCCTGCACACTCCCCACAACGTGCACATGCACACCAACACACACCAACACACTGCTCAACACACCAAAGGAGGTCCACGTGAGATCCGCAAAGGAAGCCTTAGGCCAATCCCTTTGCAGGCTTCCACCCACTCATTCTGCCTCCTTTGACCCCAACTCAGCTGGTCAAACCCGGGTCCTGACTCCTCCTCTGCAGCATAGTCAACACGTCTGCACAGCTCCCACATCTAGCCTTCTGTTCTCAGAATTACACACACGAGCGACACAGCAGAAGTGATAGGGATTTGCTAGCTACACAATCAGACAGGGTCCCCTTGGGAAGGTTTTGAAGAAGTGTCAGAATCCCTCTGAATGACAGACCAAGAGCCCTTACCTGGCAGGGGTGAGAATCCTGATTGTGAGGACATTTTTGGGAGGTCTCAGAACGTAACCAGGCCATGAGTACCCATAGAGCTTATGGCCACAAAGTCAGGCTAAGATAGACCAGAGGCAGCTGGAGCTGAGCTGCAGCTGGCAGAGGCAGGTGTCTGCAGGCTTCAGGCTCAGAGCACACGTGTCCCGGTGGTGCCGATCCTCCTGCTTCCTCCTATTAAATGATATTCATGGCCCGGCCTGAGTTACAGACATCACTGTAGACGGTAGCCATAGGCCCCTTTTCTTCCACATGTAGTTCACCAAGGCCCTGGAATGAAAGACAGAGGGGTCCTGGAGCAGCTGAGGGATAAAGTGGCCTGAGAGGGACCTGCAGAGCCAGTGCCCACTGACATGCTCTTTTTATAAAATTTCCAAAGTGCAAAGCTTTGCATTGACACCAATTACAAATCTTTGTTAGTAAATGGTGTTGATTGTCGAGAAACACATGAACTGGCAGCTGGGTCAGAGAGCAGATGCCTGGATTTGGAAGCCCAGGCCTGGGCAGTGAGGGACCTGGAAGTAGCCTGGATGGCCAGTGGCTCCAGCATTATTCTTACCCAGCTGAGACTCCTGTTCTATGAGCTCTTCATAGTGGATGCCACCATCCTCAACTCTCTGGTCCTCCTGCAAGTGGACACCTGAGCCACACACATACAATCTTTAAATCTGTACCCTGGAGACCTGTAACCCTCCCACTGCCATGAGCACCAAAGCCATAGCCACACCCATCATCCCATCTGCAAGAGTCTCCCTGGCAGCCACAGTCAGGAGAAAGGGGACCAAGTTCTAGTGGAGGAGGGGAGGCATGGGGGCCGGGAAGGAGAAGTGCAACCTGCCTCGTTCTGTTTCCGTCTTCTTCTTCTTTTTGCCACATGTCTTCCAAAGGTATGATATAAGTCCCAGGGTCAACATCAAAACCACAGTAGCCCTTAGCATGTCTGGCAGCAGTCTAGCCATGTCCCATCCATGTGGGACAGAGGGGATCACTGCAGGAATGAGGAGCACCATGTTCAGGGAATGGCTGTGTCAAACGCCAGCCCTGGGAGTCGCCAGCACCCCCACTGTGGCAGAGCAGGGGCAGGCAGGGAGGAGAGTCAGAGGAGGTAGGAGTCTGTGCCCAGAGGGCCTTGTGGCCATGCTAAGTGTTAGCTGAGACTCAGGATGGGGTCAACGGAGAAGGTCACAGGCAGTTTGAGTGGCACTGACACACCAGACCCTCCAGCTGCTCCCGGAGTTAGGGAAGACAGGGCTGCACACAGGCTTCCGGTCATTCATTCATTCCAGGAACTCTGGCTGTGAGCAAACTTTGCCAGACGCTGGCTTGGCAAGGGGATTCAAAAGATAACAACATGGCCTTGCCCTCAGGGTTGTCCAGTCTACAGAGGAGACAAAGACACAAATCTATCTTCACTGCTCAGTGTGGGGAGGCCACGGACAGCTCCCTAAGGACGTGGTGCCTGAGGGCAGGACAGGCTACATCACTTGCAGGCCCTGTGCAAAATGAACACGGGGAGCCCTTGTTCAAACTGGTTAACAGCAGAATTTTAAACCAAGACCTTTAAGTGTGGGGACCTGTGCAACTACCCAGTCACCCCACGAAGACTGCCCGCCTCAGGGGAATCCTTCAGCAGCAGTAAGACAGGAAGGGAAGCACATGGGACTCAGGTCAGCTCATGGGAGAGGACACAGCATGTCCAGAAGCTCATAATCTTGCAATGGCAGGACACGTTCAGGGAACTACAGCCAGCGCTTTGGTGTGAAGCCAGTGGGTGAGGCCAGCAATGTGGGTGGAGGAATATCTAAGATCCAAATCCTACAGGGGGTGGCTGGAATCAGGTTCCCACAGATGACACAGACAATGACACAATCCCATCTGCTTTCCCCATAGCCCACTCTGGACGAGTGTTCGAGGACAAATGAGGAGGGAGAGCCATGGGAAGGCTGCAGCCTGGACCAGCAGGGACATGGTGGGTGGTTGGCAGAGGAGGGCATGGATTGGAGACATGATCAAAGGCAGAAGTGAGGTTACTGGGACTCCCAGGCTTCTGAGTAGGTGACTAGATGGACAATGATGCGAACACACATGGCAGGGAGAAATGCCCAGACCCGCAGGCCCCCATGCTGCCTGAACTCCAGGTCCCCCTTCCCACTCACCTTGGGCACAGATGTCCCCAACATCTCTGGTGACAGATTTCTGGTCCATGGGATTGCTGATCACACAGGTGAAGCTGGCATTGGGCTGACTCAGGGGTAGGCTTTCAGCCAGGGTCCAGGAATCAAGGGCTGGTCCTGGTGTCCCTCTCTGCCCCAGCTCCAGAGGGAGGCCCCTGCTCTCCCAGGTCACGTTCAGGTCCCTTGTGGCCCCTGGGGCCCTGCACTCCAAGGTGACGTTGCACCAGCCTGCTGCGATGGATGGTGACAGAGCCAGGATGTGCGGATGGGGCACGGGATCTGAGGCAGGAGGGGACAAAAGAAAGGAGGCTTGTTTGTAGAGAACATTACACACCATACATTGTAATCATTTTCTCACAGATGCCATGGCATGCACCCTGTAGGGAAAGTGGGTGTGTTTTACAGATAACACAGAGTTTGTCTTCAGCTAAACACTGAGCAGATGACAATAAGAAGGGAAGCCCCTGAGTCAGCCCTGTGAAGTGTTACTAGATTAAACTAGTCAGAAAAATCTCCCAAAGGAAACAAGACTGGACTCCATCTATTCAAGGCCCATAATTCCTAAAAATTGGACTCCTCTTGGAGGAGGAAGAAATCTGGGGCAGATGGGCTTGTCCTGGCCCAGGGTCCTTCCCAGCATCTCCAGCTGGGATGATGGGACTGCAGCCTGGGACTGCACGGCCCTCTGGGGCAGGAATTCAGGCCAGCTCTGGGAGGCCAGACACAACCCCATGCTCCCAAGAGTACACACATTGGTGGGAGATGCAGTGGCAGCGACAAGGAACATCTCCAAGTGTGTTTAGAACACGCCACTGAACTTGAGGTACAGACAAGAAGAGAAGAGTCAGATGTGTAAGCCTGTCTTAGAAAGCACATGGGACCTAACACTACAAACACGCTCTCTCCATAGCAGGTTATTTCCCTATGCAGAGAGGAACTCTAGAAAAAGAAAGTCGTGGATAAACAGCTGTGCTAAGCAGTGTAAACGGTCTACAACTAGAAGGCTTAGAGAGATGGGTTAGCTGAGTCCTGAGTTATTCTCAGTCTGGGGTGAGAGGGGAGGAGCCTGGGAAGACTCGATATGTGTGGACTTCCAATTGTGAGAGACAGAATAGTGACCCCGGTTATTTCCACATTGTAGTCCTGGCAACCTGGACTACATGGCAAGGGGAATTAAAGTAACAGATAGAATTAAGATTGCTAATCAGCTAACATTGAAATGGGGAGATTATTCTGGATTAGCCGGATGGGTCCAATGGAATCACAAAGACCCTTAGAAGTGAAAGAAGGAGGGAGACGAGGTGCCAGGGGTCGAAAAGGACTCACCCCCACCATTGCTGGCTTTGAACATGGAGGAAGGTGGCCATGGCCAAGGGAGGCAGATAGCACCCAGCAGGTGAACAAGACAAGAACATGGATTCTCTACTGGAGTCTCCAGAAAGGACAAGCCTGCCAACACCTTGATTTTAGCCCAGTGCAAGCTCTGTCAGACTTCAGACCTACAGCATGCTGACATAATACATTTCTGCAAATTCAAGCTACTAAATCACTGTAATTTGTTCTAATTAGTAGTTCTGAAAACTACTATAGAAATTAAGTAACATTAATCCTGGAAAGGATGATTAATGTTATTGGAACGATTTCTATTTCACCAATTTCCATTGTCTTTCCCAGAACACCGAAGTGATTTTCTCCCTGGTATCAATCTCAGCTCTGGACTCCATATCTGGTGACTGCACTTTCCCTATTTCAGGGGAGGCAGTAGAGTGTGAAGGCTGTGTCTGAATGGAACCCTGGAACATGGGGCCAATGTGACAAAGGAGGAGGTAAGCCATGGGCTGGAGGGAGGGGTGTCACTCACCATAGACAGTAAGGTGGAAAAACTGCAAAACTTCTCTTCCTTCCGTTAACCTGGCTTGAGCTCGGTAATGCCCACTGTCCTCAAGGATCAGGTTCGAAATCTTCATGGAGGCCAAGTAGGGCACCTGGACCCTCTCCTTGAGTTTGTCCTGGAGGCTGAACCAGGTTGGAGAATGGACGCCTCTCTGCATTCGAAACATGACTCTGTAGTCTGATTCCGGGGTAAAGCTCCAGCAGAGCTCATCCAGCTCAGTTTCCAGAACTGCTCCTGTCTTCTGGGTCACACCAAACAAGACAGAACCTCCTCGGATCCCCTTCAGAGGAATGTGGGCTCCGGAGTCCTTAACCGCAGAGCCGTGTGCCCCAGAACTCTCAGCCACTGCACGGCAGACACCTGGACATCGGAATCGGAAACGGGAGTGTTTTCCCATCAAGAACAAATAAGAGAGCCATGGAACTTCTCTTCTTAATCAAATCCATCCAAAATTCTTCTTTCTAGGAAGGTAGGCTAGTATAATGAATTGGAAGTAATTCTGGGATCAAGCCTGGTTCTCGTGGAGTATAAAATTAAACAGGCTTAACTGCCTATTCGTCAGTTTCCTTACCATCCAAAAATGATAACATGAATTAAGTGAAACCATAGATCAGAAGAACCGAGTACATTTTCCGGCACATGCTAAGTGCATAAATGTAGAAGGCAGCTCTAACATGTCCCCCTAAGGTCTCTCCCTCCTGTGCAGGTCAATGTGTAATCCCTCCCCTGGAGTGTGGCTGCACCTAGTGACCTGCTTGTAAGGAACAGAATAGAGCAAAACTGTTGGGGCACTTTTCAGAGTCTAAAAACCCTACAGGTCTCGTTTCTCCTTCCTCCCCAATGAGACCCAATCACACTATTATTTTCATAACTACTTGCAGATATTTTTTGATGACTTTTTTCCAGTATGGTTATTTTTGTTTATTGAAAGATTCATGTGACAATATATATTAATAAAGAAGCAGAAACACACCATCACGAATTTAGTTGCCAGCCCTGCTCCCCAGGATGCGTGTGAGGTCAGGTCACAGACATATTTACCAAACTCTAGGGTTCCCCAGTCAGGGGTCATGTCTTGCAGGAAGGGGGGCTGTTATGGATTGAATTGTGTTCCTCAGAAAAGATACATTGAAGTCCTAAACCCAGAACCTCAGAAGGTGACATTCTTTGGAAATAGAGTCTTTGCAGATAGAGTCAAGTTAAGGCGAGGTCATCAGGCTGCGGCCTACTCCAATGTGACAGGCGTCCTTATAAAAAGGGGAAACTTACAAGCAGACGCCGACATGCACGGAGGGAAGCCGATGGGAAGAGACACAGGGAGGAGGCATGTGAAGGTGAGGATGGACCGACGCAGCTGCAAGACAGGGAACAACGGCACAGACTGCCAGCAAACACCAGAAGCTGGGAAGGGGGAGGAAGGATTCCCCTTGTTATGGACTGAATATCTGCGTTGCCCCCGAATTCACATGTTGCAGTTTTAACACCCAGCGTGGCTTTACTTGGAGATGCGGCCTCTAATGAAGGGAGGGTAAGTGAGGTCACAAGGGTGGGGCCCAATCCAATAGCATTAATGTACTTATAAGAAGAGTCACCAAAGAGCAAGCGAGCCAGCCCTCCCCATGCACACGCACTGAGGAAAGGTCACGTGAGGACACGGATAGGAGGCAGGCTTCCGCTAACCAGGCAGAGAGCCCCACCAGCAATTGAATTGGCTGGAACCTTGATCCAATAGCCCCCAGAACTGTGAGAAAACAAATTTCTCTTGTTTGTTAATTCATGAGCGAAATACAAGTGTCCTTTAATGTCTCAGTCAGCAATGTTTTTCATAGCTAATAACACGTTTAAATATATAATTCTTGGGTAATGGACACCAAACATAGGTGCTCCATTTAATGTAGGGCCCAAAATAACAGCCGTCCTTTCCAGGGGTAAGACAGGACAACTGGATTGGCTGGGGCAGGATTTCATTTTCCAAAGGGGAAACCTTCCAAAGGCATTTTCACACACAATTCTGGTGAAAACAGTGTTAGTCTTTCCCCCTGCCAGCATTGAAAGAAGGGTGATCGAGAAATAAACTAGTATTTTCTGCTAAACAGACAGGAACTGAAAAGGTCTGGCTGAGGCTTTTACTAGCTGCCTCTAAAAGCCCAGCTGCAGCTGCCTTCCTGAGTGTGGTCTGCACCCCACTTTCTCACACACTGCGGAGGGGTGAGGTGTCCTTCGGCAGGAGGTCTGAGGACACGTCCCTGCAGCCACATTCGGACCCTTTCTTCTCCAGCTCCCCGCCAGCAGGCACTGGGTGGGCGCTCAGGAAATGCTGTCAGGGTCAGGCTGACCAGTCCCCACAGTGGAGGCCACCCTCACTGGTGCTATCTGCGTCTCTGCAAAAGTGCAGTGTGTGCTGAGCCACCCTCAGGCCTCACCTGCCATTTCCATGTCCCCTTCCAAGCACACATCCAGGAAGGGTTCAGGGGTCTAAGAATGATAAGGACAAATTCTTTAATACCTCCCACAGCATCACTCCTTCTCCACCCATCCCTCTCCAAGGCAAGGCTGAACTTGAGCAGGGGACAAACCAAAACCAAAGAAGAAATGCATCCAACTGTGGAGATCCATGAATTACTACAGTGTAGTTTCTGGGAGATGTTCCTTCTGAGGACGGGCTCTGTCCAAACTCCACTGCTAGGGTCTGTGCCATTGACTACCAGGGAGGGCAGGCCTGACAGGAAAACCAAATTCACTCCTCCCCACTTGCTGTGTGACCTCCAGAGAATCACTTTCGTTATCTGGACACAGACTGCCTATCCCTAAACTAAAAAATTCTAAGTCCTTTCTTTCTTTTTTTCCCTATTTATTTCCTTCTTCCCTCCCTTTCTTTGTTCCTTCCATTTTTTCTTTCTTTTTCTTTGTTTCTCTAGTATTCCTCCAGTCCAGTGCCTACAGAGAAAACGTTATACAATCAGACATATTTCTCCAAGTTAACAATATTGTGGAAGTGAAGAAAGCCTACATTTTGCTGTCGACAGAAAGTTACTGATTTAAACAGGATCTAACCCAGTGCTATGGCAAAGCTCATCTTTGCTTCCAGAAGTCCTGTTTTACAAGTGCTTTCTAATCCATTAGATTTCACATACTTCCCTGCAGTTCAATCAGTGCTGAAATACTAAAACAAAAATATTAACAATAAAAGCTTTCACAAAAATTCATATTTACTAGACCTTATTTTTTCATTAGCTTTTATTTAATGTTATTAGTTGCATAATCATATGATATTTCATAAAGCAATGAGTATGACAGACAGCCTAGATCAGGTCATTCTACTTCCTTCCTCTCCATTTTCCCTCCCCGATTTCATGGCCTCCTCTAGCCCAGGATGGCAATCCACTGGTTCTTCCACATCTTTAGCATATTCTTAGAAACATGTGGGTGCATAGACACCCTTAAATTTTGGAGGCTGCTTTCCTTGTATAAAACAAAGATCTCATTGCATTTAGTTTCCTGAATCTTCCTGATGGAGATTCATGAATTTTACTTCCTGGAAACTGAAAATTCCTCCCAGAAAGGGGGACATTTGCATTTTTAGGCCCGCATAATACTCCATGGTACATATACTCTCAAAGTCTTCAATCACTCTCAATTGTTGGGCACCTCCTCTTTTTTCCCAGGCTTTTTCCCCAGAACAGGGCTGTGATAGACATGGTTTCATCTGAGGTCTCCAGAGCCTGAGCAGCATTTCAGGGTGGAGGTACCACCCACAGGGGTGAGAAAGGGCATAGTCTGTAGGACTCATTGTACCTGAGATGGCAAATGCTTTTTAACATTTTCAGATGGAAACTAATGCCAATTACACAAGCACTTTTAAGATAAACCTGAGACTTCCAAGGGCCTCTCCTCTGAGATGATCTGCCTGGAGCTGAGCCCCAAGCAGAGGGGAGCCCCTCCACTCTCCTCTCCAGTGGAGCTCAAGCAGCCCAGACCAGAGGAGCTTCTTGCAGCTCAGACACGGGTTCCAGTTCTGCCCCCTCCTCCACAGGACAGTGCAGAGACTGTCAGGACACCACTGAGTTCCAGGCCAGCAGTACAATCTTTCAACCCTTTATCCCCAGGAGGAAGCTATTTTATCTCTCTGTATCCCTCTTTCCAGGCAGTTCCAACTCCCTTCTGATTTCTGGCTAATGTAGCAGAAGTGGCCTGTGCTCCCAGGCTATAGTCCCGTTAATGCAGCCAAGGCAGCCCAAGCTCAGTGATCCAACCTGAAGACCACCAAAAGGCCATTTCATTTTTTCTGTTTACCATGTGCTCTAACCTAATATGCTGCATTTGCAAATTATAACACAGCATTTTCCTCTTTTCTGTTCCTCAGAAACAACAGAACCGAAATAGCCCTCCCAGGGGTCATGGCCTAACTATCTCAGCTCCACTCAGTTGTTTCTCCTTCCCAGGGACCCCGGGCTACTCACTGAGGAGGAGGCTGATGAACCCCAGGAGACTGGAGGCACAGCAAGGCGGGTTGTGCTCTGAGCAGGGCCCCATGGCGCTGCCTTCGAGCCTGGTCAGCTGCAGGGGAAACAATGAAGGGGGAAGAAACCAGCTTACACAACTTTCGCACTCCAAGGGCAGGACTAGCAAGTGACTACTGGGGAGACAGCCCATCAATCTAGAGTAAGAGCCATTCAGCTCTTTTGTAGATGCTCTGCGCACTCATTCAGTAATTGCAGAGAAATGTACAACTTCACACTGTGACACGCCTGACATCACGTTGACAGGCCCCTGTTCCTGTGGTCACAGCAAGCACGGTGCTCTCACACATGCCCTCCTCTGATGCTTATCTGCTTACCTGGGTTCACACCTTTGACTCAGGCTACCCTGCTCGCCAAAAAGCCAATCTCTTACAGCAAACCGGCGTGGGCACCTCCCGAGTTTGGTGTCTTTCCTCTGTCCAAACCCTTTAGTACTGTTTCTCATTTTGGTTATTGCTTTTCTTCTGCTGGGTTTAGGATTGTTTAGCTCGTCCTTTTCCCGTTCCTTGAGATGATTCATAAGATTATCGATTTGTGATCTTTCTGTCTTTTCAA